TTACTATTAAACTAGGTTAGAACTTTTAAAAAACAAGCATTTGTCAAACACAATATGGTAATGTACGGGATTGTTAATGAAAATACCTCTATATGCTTAACCCAAGTCTGCATCGTCATGAAAACGTACTTTTCGAAGTTTTTCATTCATTATAGTATTATAGTATTAACGTGGATTATAAAATTAGAAACGGTAATACTTATTAAGTAGTGTGACGATGCAAACTTGTACTAAGACATTAAAATCTCACCAATATGACACAATAAACCAAAATAATACAAAAATGTACCTCTGAAAGATAAAATTTCTTCCTTTCTCTACAGCAATTCTCGAAATAATACCAGATTGTATCTAACAATGGAAATTTCATTTCCTGATGTATAAATTCGTATCACTTTAAGATGACTTACAGAGAATATGATAGTTATTAGAACAAATATAAAAGTACCCACATATAATAGAAACTCACTGCATAAATGTTAATAAAAACCTAAGGATACATTTTGTTTGCCACATAAATGATTTTTTTAAAGATATTTACGAAAAGGTACATTTTATTATGCTCAATGTTACAAAAAGGTCATATAGGATGTCATCATTACCATTTTTTGTTCTTTGGATTTTATAATTGCTGTTTATAAGTGTGTCGGATATAAAAAAAATATTTATGCAACAATAATATGATATGGAAATTCTCCATGCAACTATTCCTTAAAAACAAGAGCAATTGGTTAATCGAAATATTTTTATACACATAATTTACATTCAAATATGAAAATGTTATTAAACTTTATTTACTGTTATAATTAGTTAAATATAATTATCAGTGTCCTGTTTATAGTAGTGCAGTTCTGTTTGATTAGGATACAAAACATTTATACTGAGTCACTATATATATACACAAGGCAAAACTGATAATTTTGAATATTAACACTATTAATCAAACATTACCATAGTTATATTGAATAAAAGACTTGACTAACAACCAAAATATTAAGATATATGTATTTTTAAAATATAACTTTTGTTTTAAATGAAGAATGTCATATAAAAAATGATACTTCAATGAGTAATATGTATATTTATTAAGATATAAATACTTAGTTTAATACATATCTTAATTAATTTGTATGACACTATATACAGTTGAGATCACACTACCGAGAAACATTAATATATGTAATTGTTATCATTAAAGCTTTTACAAATGTTTCCATTGTACTATCCATTAATGTTTTATTGCTATACAGATCAACAAAGAGTCTATAATAAATATGAACAATTAATACTGGCGGTATGACAAAAACATGAATATTATTTTATCTTTGAAAAAGGAACACATTATCAAATGTTTTTTTTATATTGCCTAGTCAAGGACAAACAAATAAAATTTTTATAAAGTGATCTTGTGTTGTCATTCATAATAATGGTAATTAACGAGCATACAAACTTTAGAGCAACTAATAAAGAAACAGCAAGCAATAGAATTAGTTTTAAATTTAAAATATAATCTAAAAAGCTTGTAGTTTTTTTTTTTATTTTAATTATTTCATATAATATAATTCCATTTTGCTTTTCACTTACAAATCTTAAGAAAAATTTTAAATAATTCTCATGACTTCATTAAATTTATTGGTATTTTATTATGCTTTTGTTTTTTTTTCTTGCAATATCTATATTACTACAGTAACTTTATGTAGGTATTATATTGAATAATAGAAAATAATTGATTAAAGAAATTCCATTTGTTCATATGAGGTATGAATATTTGATTTTAATGCAGAATACACATAGCTAATCACAAGATTTTGGTCAATATAACAATACTGTTATGAAAAATAATATCCAAAATTGATTGTTTTAAATTAAAGTGGAATACCATGTATGTCCTTTATGGATAGTTCTACGTTAAGAGGTACTATCGACGGCTACATGAAAAAATCATACATAATTTGAAAATTCGCGGAAATCATCAGTCATATTTAATAATAAATAAAGCATACTTTTTTACCAATGAATTACAGTATCTGAATTAACTTAGTTTAGCTAAAATTTCATGTTGACCTAGAAAAAAGTATCTACCCTGGCCTGTCTTTTTACTATTCTGTAACAAACTCTTCCAAATTTAACATATTACTAATTCATTTAAAATCTAAGCGTTATTTATTACAAAAAACAGTATAATTAACAATAATGAATATGTAAAAAAACTCTCAAATTACTTTAATTTTCTATTTAAAAAAAAATATCAGTTTTTGTCCCTCATATATTAAGTCTCCTCCCCTGCCTATTTTTCGTCCGTTATAAATGCCGCAAAAATACGTTGACGCTTCAAATTTCAATAGGCAGAGCATTTGTTTTAAAGTTAAGTTAGTAATAAACGCCGCGAGCGCCATCCACGCGCTCTCATTTTCATATAATTTGATCACGCCACTCGGCTTACACGGACGTGTCAGTGATTGCAGTATCTCCACTGGTAAGTTTTATTCATTTCTTATTTACATTTAAAGTCTATTTATATTATTTATTTACTTTAATTTAAGCTTAGCTTACCGTGTTCATTTGTTTTTTTCGTTACAACATATTTTATCCTGATTAATTTTAGTTTTTTCATGAAAACGTCTCTTCCCTGCCGTATTTCCCCTGCTTCATGAGATGCCAGGGTAGAGACTTTACATCCAGGGTAGATGAGGAAGTGAGATATTACTGCTTTATTAGTATTCATATATTTTTATTAGTATATGAATTTGGTTTTACGTTAGTCTTCTACTACGTAGCAATTATTTAAATTGATTTCTAAAATGTTTGAATAAGTTTTTTCATTTCTTTAGATCATGCCTCCTCGAAAGAAACTAAGTCGTGAGGAACGTCTTGGAAAAAAGCGTCTGGCAGAACGATTGAGATACCAACGCATAAAAAATGATCCCGAAAGGTATTCTCAACAGAAGGAAAAGGAAAAGAAGAAATATGAAAGAAAAAAAGAGAAGGGAACTATTAAGACTGTAAACCAAATAACACCCAGAGAACAACGAAAAGCCAGAAAGATATGGAGAGAAAAGGCAAAACAGCGGAGACGACGTTTAGCTCTTCAACACATTGGAATTGAAATATAGAAAGTCAAAGCAGCTCAGAGTATCTTCGTCTCGTTCTCAGCCAGTTTCTGAGGAGACATACCAGTTTGTGAACGAACAACCCTCAACATCTGGGTTGAAAACTAAATTCAATAATGGTGATTTTGTCTTGGTGAGACTGTTGCATAAAGAAACAGAATATCGTTACGTAGCGATGTGCACAGGGGTTAAAGAAGATGATGAAGTCGAAGTTATTTTCTACAAAGTCTTTGAGAATACTGGAAAAAGCTTCATAATTGATGACAATGATATTTGTTTCGTCACATGCGACCAGATTATTAAAAACTTACCAGCCCCAAATTTAAATATGAAAGGGCAGAGGATTTTTTACACTTTTGACAAAAGTATTAACGTCTTTGAAAAGGCGTGATCTCAATTGTTTCATTTTAATGTTTATTATTTTACAAGTTCTTGTTTAAGTATTTTTTTTATAACAGCGTTGATTCTCATATTCTCACTTAAAAGTTTTATTAAAGAAAATATTTAAGTTAAGTTTATTTTACTTTAGAAAAAGATGTTACTTCTGTGATTTTTGTAAGCAGATATGAAGTATTTTTGTTTTCTAAGTTTAATTCCTAATTCAGGTTACTTAAAAAAGGCTGTACGAAACTTCAAGTCTGAATTTCTGTATTAGTTATAAACTACAACAAATTAGTGAATAATTAAAGTTGATTCTTATGAAATTGAGTTTTTTTCTCAATTCATCTTTCCCTTGTAAAGTAAGGTATCCTGCCCTGGCCTTCATGTCTCTACCCTGTACAGATTATCTTCCCTGGCCCCTTAAAAAACTCATAAAAGTAGATTAATTGACTGGCCATTCATCTACAGTATACAAAATACCTGATTACATAATAAAATTTAGAAAAAGAAATCAATTTTAAATATTTTTATCGTGCCGCCCTGCCTAATATCAAAAGACCTCTTAACGTAGAATTACCCTTATATTGTTTCAATATTGCTCAAGCAGAAAGGTCGCCTTTAATCAAGATGTAATTTATCTTATCAAGTTATTTTGAAATATAAGAAAATATTCTTACTACGAAAACTTCATGTTTACTTTCTTTATTTAGCAAGCATGTTTGAGATAATACAAAACAAAAGGAAAATGTTGTAGTAACTTTAAATTATGGTTATTGAATAATTCTTTTAATATATTATATATCGCTGAGATAGCAACATGATTATTACTTTTAAGAACAATTCACTGTTAAAAATAAATTTATATTTGTTTAAGATCATAAAAAGACTCTACTTTGTTTCAGAAGTTAGAGTCAATTTTGTAAAGATTGTATTTGGAGGTATCAATTAATTTTAATTAATATCTTCAGGAATTTCAAAACGTTAATTTACTTCTAACAATTATGATAAATCATGTGTTCTTAACAAAAAAAAATTGTGTGATGTTATATATACCTATAAATATTAATTTCATATTAAAATATTTCATAATAAATATTTCTTCTCAGGAAATTTTGCTGTCATTTTATATATTTGTTTTTAAAAAGAACAGGCTATAAAGGAGTATTGCTAACATCTTTTTACACATGTTTTATATTTAGAAAACAAGGTTAAATAAAAATCAAAGAAACAGTGCTGGTCTAACAAAGATAGTGAATTATTTGTTACATTTATTTTGTTTTATTATACTTATTCTTTATGTAATCTTTAATGTTACAAACATTAAACATCCTCAAGAGATATCTCTAGCAAAATCTATGTAGAATTTCATAAAACAATTCATTTTTATGTTAAAAAAGGGACCTGATATTTAAAACATAACCTCAACAGCTCCTATTAACGTATTATGGAAAATTCCAATTACAACAATATGTAAACATTAATGAGGAAAACATATAATGTATGACTTACCCTTGAAAAGGTTCTCAAACGATTTATACGGGGGTTCGATGGTATATTACTAAGAGAAACCTTTGACATCTTCGCTTCTTATTAATTTCTGTCTTAATGCTCCAAGTCAAATACTGCACTGCAGTAAATGGAACAAATCACACAGATTTGAATTCAACACGGCGTTCGATTAAAAACATTTGAATATAAGCACTTGAGTGTTTCAGTATTAATCTGACAGGACAACTCAATAGCACCACCCCATAACGTCAGTTTTATATTGGATAGAACTTGGGAATACGATAAGGAATAATGGTCTTTTTAGAAGTATAACTAAACAGTACAATAGTTCATTAAATTAAAATAATAATATTGGGTTTGTTTTACACAATTGACAGATAGATTATAAACAGAGTTAACGTTTCGTTTCACACGCGGAGTGCACGCATTACGCACACCGGCACACCATTCGTTGCGCCGTCTTACCGACAACTGTCAAATTTGGTGTACAAACGGACGATAATAAAACCCGCGCCAAATGCGTATGAATGAATCAGAATAGAGCAAATATTTAAATAAGTATTTTTTAGCAACATACATCTCTATATATGTATGTATTTATAAACATATTTATAAAATTCTTAATAAGCGATATATGAAGAAACTCTTTGTAACATTACAAATTTAAATTTTAAATTTGATTGTTTCAGCTTATTTACTATATGTTAAACTGTCTTAAACAAGTATATTAGATACAAATATTCAGAATTTTGCTTACTCAAAATGTTTTACATAACATTTTCCTTTTTTTTGTTAGGACTAGTTCGTGTTTTAAATGGCATGAATGGTGACGACGTTTACACTTTCCGAATGTTCTTGTTGAAGCAAGCAATTTCTGAAGGAAGAAGACTTTAATGTGTCGTTTCTTACGCATAAAAGAATTTTTATTATATTAAAATGTAAATTTCGTTGACGAAACTAAAAAAATAACCGAATTACAACAAAAGGAAAAGGAAAAATAAAACTTAAACTTGCTCATATGCTTTACGTAATCACCAGTTTTAGACAAAAGTATTCAATAAATAATTTACAAAATTAATGTATAAGATGTAGGACTTATACATTTATACAATATATTTTTGATAACTAATTTTTCATAAAAGTTGGCAAAATCGTGAATATCTGCAAATGCTTTATTATTTCTCAAGGCGTATTTAAAAACATCACATAAATGAATTCAAACAAATGTTCGTTATAAATATTCAAGAAGCATGTCTTTATTAAAAAACAATATTAAAATCTTTTCTAGAAGCTCTCATTATGTGACTCAAATAAAAGTAGAAACATCGTGAAGCTTTATAATGAAGGACTTACAAGGGATCTCTCGGTCGGATTCACGTGTATGCGCGGCTCTTCGTCATCATCAGGCGAACATTCGGCGCCAGCTATCTGACCCATGTTTGGTCTGCAGCTGTTAGTTTGTAACTAGGCGATAAAGCGGCGCGTGGCCGCTAGCCGCGCGTCCGTCGCGCGACCCGTGTCGCGCCGTTGTGCTTACACATTCACGAATAGGGATTAACCCTTAACATCGATATAGAGCTTTCTGCTAATAATTCCAGTATTATTATTCTTTGGTGTTATACTGTTCGTTTTACATTTAGTCCTTTAAGTAAGATTTAACTTGAATATACTTTGTAACTATAAAGTTGTACTTTAAATCCGACATAATATGTAAAAAAAAAATTTTTTTTTTCAAATTCACTTAGGGTGTACATACACAAAAATTATTAAATTAGTATGTCATATCGAAATAATATTTCAATGACAATTCAACAACACTTCACTATTATTCTGCATGCGTAAATGAAATTTTACACCTCATGTTGCAACTTATGATACATCTCTATGCAAGTAGTTCAAAATTTGAATTGACATCATGTTCATATTTAGTTTGATTCGACTTTTAAATTATTTATCAAGTTTAGGTACAGTGTACATCGATACGTCATAAGAGCCATGACTAGGACCCGGCGGTCGATACAGCGAGCGCAAGCCCAAAACGTTCAGTTGGAACTCTTTGACAGAAGAACTTGAACATCTACATATACTTGAACAAAAACAACTCGTTTAGATATCTTAATTTGGAAAATACCGAACGATCTTCTCTTAAACTGTGATAAAAATTCAGAAATACAGAAGCTATATTTTCGATTAATAATAAACTTACACACAAGATTTTTCCTTACACGCTACAGTTTTATTCATCCGCATACCTTTGCAGGGTCGAAAAGAAAATGTAGTTTTATGAGTTTAAAAGCGAGGGAACCGTAAACGGCTTAGTTGATTAACTCTTCCTAACTAGTTACTGTTAATTAACGCTATTTTTACACCTTTTCCACAGATAGCAGAGCATTCAACAGCCCTTGTATTCCATCACGCTTATTTCTCTCTGAAACAATGGCAAGAAATTATTTACATTGGTGCAAACTTCGTATTTAATGGACTATTATTCGCTATTTGTTTTTGGCTATTTATGAACCATATTTATAAAATGGTCTCAAGCTTTAATAAAAGAAGTTTTTTTTTACATTAATGCAAAGAACGTTACATTTTCCTAAAACAAACCGCATAGATTATCACTTTTTGGCAGATTCATTGTTTGCTCGATGATAACAGAGACAACTCTCAATTTTTTTATACATTTTTTTTTTATAACATATGAGACAAATATATATAAAAAAAAACCCGTTGAGTTTCTTTCGCCGGTTCTTCTCAGGTCAGGGTATTTTCTTTTCCGAACCGGTGGTAGTGTCTCAAGTGACCATCAATAAGAAAGTGTAATGCTTTTATATTGAATAAAGTTATGTATTTGAGTTTGGGTTGAGTTTGATATTCTAGCCTAAAAAACCCCTCGAAAGAACAGCGACGGATTTGAAGAGGATTCCTGAGTGTGTGTTTTCTTGTACTTAGATTTTGATTGTCCTCAAAGAAAGAACGATTAGATTTTTATTAGGAAGGCCACCTTCGTCTTTGTTTTGATTTCCTATCAAGTGTGTTGATAGTCAAATACTATCACGTAAGTATTTAAAATAATATGTATACTTTTTTTCTTGGATATATTTTCCATTATATCCTGTTTATCCAATTCACTTTCCATTCGAATATTCGTAGCATGAAACAAATATTAAATTATAATTATCTAAATTCTAATATATACATATGGAGTCTAGAATAACATTATTTATTGATTTCAGGCTTGAAATTATTAATAAATAAGTAAAACCATAGCTTTAGCAAATAAACTAATTCCATGCCATAGAAATGTAAACATTCCTTTGTAACACTTTAATTTACTAAAGTGTCCTTTTAACTAAGTGATTAAATTAATAATTTATTTGTACATTATGTTAAAAAGTTGATGTATTGGGAAATACCCAGTTGTTAATGTGTGTTATCGCCATCGAAACAATTTAACATGAGGAATAAAGACCATGAAGAGGCGGTATCTAATATTGTGCGATCTTTGGACCTACCTCGGAAAGTTGAAAGTTTCTTTGGAATAATTAAATATCGAGTGATCGATGGTCAATTATTCGAACCTAATATAGCGATGAAGAGCTATGGAATCTTGATACCAGTATTAATAATTTTTGGATGGACTATCATTATTTTGGATACATGGTTTAATATAAAACTGAACATTTTTTTTAATTCCCATTTGGACTCTACTGACTATGTAGACAGACTACCGATGATAGTTACAGTGGTGCAGAGTTGTTTCTCTCTTTTAGTGTTCCTTTGTAACGGTAAAAATAATATAAAAATAATCCATTCTTTCGCTTACATTGATTGTTTATTAAAACTTCACAACAACAGGAGCTTTCATGAGAAAATTCAGAAGAGAAACCGAGTAGCAATTTGTATATTTCTTTTAATATTGATATCATCTATAGTTCAGAATAATCTTGAAAACCGGTCGGCTATACTATATAACACGATAGAAGCGTTGATAGATTTCAAATTTCACTTAGAAACACTGTCTTTTTATTTTTATTTAAAAATGGTATCCAGAAGAATCGACGTTCTAAACAAATATTTGGACCATTTTGTAAAGAAGAAAGATAAGATCAGACCTATAGTAATCGCCAAAGAAAATCTGGAGGCGAATAAACGGCATGATTACATAGGACATATTAATCATCAAAACACAAAAATTACATCTTTAGCTTTTGCTTACGAAGCGCTAGGGGAATCCTTGTTATTAGTGAATAATATTTGTTCAATCAACATTTTTTTATATCTAGCCTCAAACTTCATGAACATAATCATATCACTATGGTCCTTTGTACATTTTATTCGAACTAAAAACCACTTAAGTTCCTTGCCGGGTATAATATTCGAGAGTACAGTTGAAATAAGTGTTGTAATAATTATGTGCTACGTTTGTGAAGAATTGACAACGAAACGACGGTCCACAAGGATTCTGGTCAACGAGATTGTTATGGACTATAAGCTGCCAAATGAGATGAGAATTCAAGCAAAATCATTTTTCGATTTGATCGAAGTTTGGCCTTTGCAAGTGTATGCCAGCAGAATGTTTTGTATGAATATACAACTACTTCTTGGCTTTATTAGTGTGTCATCGACGTACTTAATTTTTATTATTCAAGCCACAAGGTAGCTATTGCTATAATTCATTAAATTACTGCGATTATAAAGAGTGTTTGCCTATTGAGCTAAACATGATTGGTTATTTTTTTTATATCAATATCCTAAGAAAAAACGTTACCTAACGTTTTAAATCTGGTTTTAAATACACTTGACAGAGAGTATTAATAGTTGGGTGTAGTAATATTTCGATGATTCCATACACTAAATGGTTCTGACAAATTCTCGCTGAGAGCTCTTTGGAGTTTGGAGAATGAAGATAGGTTATCAGAAAATTAAAGCTGAAAATTAAAGTTTAGCGGGGTATGAGTTTTAACCAGATCATTTATTGTTATAAAGGAAACATGTTCTTCTCAACACAGTGTATGAATATTATTGACATTTTTTCTACCAGCCTTGTGAGTTGTGTACCAAATTATTTT